GGACAAAGTAGACCAAAGGTTTTTGCCATCGTTTATCTGCCACTACTGGAGAAGGGGTGAGGGCGAGGGCGCTGAGCCTAAGAACTTAGAACCGCTTGTCTAGTGCTGTTTCTTCGGACTGTGTAGGTTAGAAATATATAGAAAAAAAATACCTTGACCTAAGGATTCGAACCTGCGTCTTTCGCAATCTCGCTGTAGGCCCTAATAAAACTATTATGCGGCTGAACGAGTTTACTGGAATATGCTTCTATTCGTATAAATTCGAATGGGCACTGCTTGTGTCAGTGAGTGCCTGTTTTTCAGTCTGCAATCCTGGAGGCATTTACAAAGATAAGCACCATATTTACGCATCCAGTATACAAAGCTAGACTCCTATGTTTCGTTCTAAAGAAAGAAAAGTTTACTCATTCCTTAGGAGGAGAATGCAGAAACCATTATATTCGACCCTGAAGATGGGTACATCAAAAGTCTGGAGGACCTGGCACACCAGAGCCTCGTTGATGAGACCGAGACGAGACCGGAAGTCAAACATAAGGAGTCCATACCGGCTGCTCCCGATGGTGGATATGCCTGGGTGATATGTTGCGGTGTGTTTCTGAATCATATGGTCTACGGTGAGTATATGTATGCTGCTACCTTATCTTCTTCTTATTCTTCTTCTTCTTTTTCTTCTTCTTCCTTCTCCTTTTCTTTCTTCTCCTTCTTTCTCCTCCTCCTCCTCTTCTTCTTCTTCTTTTTCTTCTTCTTCCTCCTCTTTTTTTTATTTTTCCTCTTCTTCTTTTCCTCCTTCCTCTGCTTTTCTTCTTCCTCTTCCTTCTTCTTTATCTTCTTCCTCTTCTTCTCCTCTTCCTCCTCTCAGTTGTTTCGCTTATATGTCTTTTTTTTTTCTTTTTCTTAACTTTATTCTTCTTTTCCTGCTTTCTTTCCTTCTTCTGCTAAGTGACAAATGGACAGGAGGCCGCTTATGCTTACGGAGAATGGGAATGCGTCGTTAAATTTGCGTGTTTTAAGTGTGAGTCTGGGGTAACTTTTGAAATGTATTTTTTTTTTTTTTAGAATCCAGAAGCCATGAGTTGTTAACCCTTAGGCTCAGTATTATGGATATCGCAACCCTTCGGCCTTGATTCCATTATAAATACCGTAAATCTGGGGGAAAATGTCTCTTTTCTGCCTACCCCCTGGCGTGAACCCGGACCACAAGGAGTTCGTCACCCTGTCACCGCACAATCCGGTTTAGCCAACTACGATAGCGAGCCGGGCACTGAAATGTATCAATATGTAACTGTAATTTCTTTAGCAGACTGTTGTTTGTGGTAACTTACGGCTTCTGTTAAAATTGAATTGCTGTTCTAGTTGCGGACTATTAGTGTTGGTACCTTTGGTGGCTGCCTTGTGTATCTACTACGTGTGCGAGATTATAAATTTTAGTCGAACACATCTGTTACAAATTTTAAAATTGGATGGTGACTGGCATTTTGTGTAACGGTCACGGAGAAATAATGGGATGGCACTTTAGTTGTTGGTGTGAATTCAAGAGGGGTAAAGAAATAAACAAAATATAAATGGGAAACTATCGGTCCCAACAGTGGCAAGACAATGAAAATTACTTTATACTAGAAACATTATTAAAAGAAACGATCAGAGAATTACCTAAGAATCATATCCTATGCGATTGATAATTGCTCACACTTGTTCTAAATAGACTATACATACACGGGTACTTGAAACATGAGATAACCGGACTATAAATCAGTTATACATAGACAGAGGGAGCTCAGTATTGTGGAAGCTGGACGCACGCCTACAAATCCGAAGGTCGTGGGTTGAAGTCCTCGCGGAGCTAGGACGTTTTTCAAAAGCAACCTTGGCTTTAAATAGGTAACAAGTTGAATGTTGCTCTCATCACGGTCTGCCTAAATGAAACTTTATCTCTCGCCAGTTCTCCCACGCCGTGTACTTTCACAACCAAGAAGAAGTCACTCATAGTCTGTGTCCATATTCATGCTGGTCGGCCCCTGCCCCTCCTTCCTGGTACTATGCCGCCTGTTATTTTTCAGTCCGTCATGGCGCTTGATGTAACTACAATATTTCATTTTCCGAGACAAGATGCTGTTTATTAGCCTATCTTCCTTGATGTTCAGATCGTTTCAAATGTCGGTATTTCTTCTCTTCTGTGCCCATGATATTCTAAGAATGTTTCTGTAGCATTTCAGCTTAAAAGCTCCTATCAAATAATAGTAATATAAAAGAACAGAATTGTGCATCAAAGCACACATAAGGTCAGTGGCGGTATCTGCCGACATGTAAACACGTTCGTTTCGAAGGCACATGGATAATATCCGATGGAAGATCTGTCCCGAAAATAGAGAATAAGACAGTCAAGAACTGCGTTTTGTAAACTGAATAACTTTTACATTATTACATACTATACAGAGCCAGTTTTAGTATATGACAGCGAATCCCTGACAACTAGCAGATTAGTTGCGTATCCTTTACAGGACGTTGCAGAACCAACCCCAGCAGCCCCTGGCTGTTTTGTGGGTTTTTTAGGTAAATTTACGTCCAGTAGTTTGCCAATGCCCTGGACGGTCGGCTCTCTTGATACCACTGTCGCAACCAACGCAAAGCGCATGGCCCGCAGCTGAGATCGAACCCGGCATATCGGCATTACGAAGCGTTCGCATCGACTTAGCCACTGAGCCGACTGGACAACTAGTAAATAGGTCAAATAACCCAAATGTTTTTTGAAATGCCATGGCCCCTAGGACTTCTTGTCACAAATACCTGAAGATCTTTTTTTTTTTTTTTTTTTAAACAAGCTATGAACAGACATAAACTGGAATTTTTGGCAGCTTGAAAGAATTATGGAAAGAGAGACAGGGGTTACGACGCGAGACATTCTTGACAACGTTTTGTCATTTCATTGAATATAGAGAATGGCATATAAAAAGAGTCAACAAGTTTGTTTACACGAGAGTTTGTAGTAGACCACCACGAGGCAGATCAAGACGACAGTGGCCAGATAATTTACAAACAGACCTACACACACTTGGAGTCACTAACTGGGAAAGAGCAGACCAAACACAGAAATAAACATTAAAATTCAAAACACTTTCAACAACACATTGGGCATAAGTTAGGCAAAATAATTCATGTCATAGTTGGCAAAAACGTATGTCACATTTTATGGCAAAACATTTTTACAAGACAAACAGCCTTTATTGGCTCTATTTTATTTTACATATCGACAAAGTTTTGTTACAATGGTATAGCACAAATCGGATTTTTCACCGGTAAAATGTGCATATAGTTGATGGCACATTTGTTTTTTCGTTTTTTTTACATATCATCATCATCATGTAGCAGGTCCTTTGCAGAACGTCGCTCTCATCGCAGTCTGCCTGAAAGAAACTCGGTCTCTCGCCAGTTCTCCTGCCTCATATACTTTCATACTCAAGGAGTCACCTATATCCTGTGCCCATCTTCGTGTCGGTCGGCCCCTGTCCCTCCTTCCTGGAACCATGCCTTCTGCTATAGTCTTTTCCCAATCCGTTGTGGCGCTTGATATGATCAAAATATTTCAGCTTCTGAGAAAGGATGCTGTTTATTAGCCAATCTTCCTTGGTGTTCAGATCTTTTAAGATGTCAATATTTCTCCTCTTCTTTGTCCAAGATATTCCGAGAATCTTTTTTTTTTACATATATACAAGCAATATCACAGGCCACAATTTCACAGGCATTTAATTATCGTGTAAGTCACCGGTCTGTGTTGTATGTACATAGTATACAGAAAAGACATGTGTTATTTACATATGGCACAGAACAGACAGAAACAAGAAATTAGATTGCATGAGGAGAAGTAGAAACTGTATCATCGTGGACTAGTCTTTTTATATACAGATAGGACAAAGGGTATCGATGTTGATCGTAGGTGTAGATCGAACGAACGAACGAACTTTATTTTCAAAGGGTCACAAATTGGGCACGCAGGCCCGTCTTACATTCGGCCCTTTCAGTCAACCATCTTTCGCACAGCAGTTGTATTTTACTAATAAAGCATGTTATGATCATATGATGTTATGCATATTATGAATATTATAAAAGAACACAAAAGCATCAGTTGTAAAGTGCATGCAAAAACCCGCGCGTGCATACATACACCCACATACACACGCTCACTCACTCACTTACACACACAAACATGCATGCATACATTGCATACATACATACACAGATACATACAAACAAACATGCATACACACATACACACAGGCATACGTACACACAAACATACATACATAGATACAAACATACATTCATACGTAATACAGGCATACACGCATACAGTCATAAATACAGTCATGCATGGAGACACACACATGCACACACGGACACTCCCACACACACACACACACACTCAGACAAAAATACAGACACACACACAGACACTTACATATAAACAAGCTGCCATGATGATGACTTGTGTACTCTAAACCCTACATTAGTGCCCCCTTGTGGTTGTAGTGCGTCAAGGATTTTCACAAATGTGTCTCTATTTAACGTGTAATGCTATATCTGCAGGAATTAACCATATAGACTTGGTTTGCCAAAGAATAATAAAACTTTCTTGAAAAAAACAATATAAGCAAAATAAAGGACCCTTTTCGACACCTTCCTGACTATTGGGCATAAAGGGCTAGACCTATATTTTAATGACCAATCGGGACTCGGTGGGTGATTGTCCGAGCATCACGCTGAACGCGTTTACTTCACAGCACCGGACCTGCTACCCATTTAAGGCTGCGTGAATCTGGGAGCCAATGTCTTTTTTTAACGAAAAACGGTCCAGCTCGTTTGGACTTGAACCCAAGACCCTCCGATTCGCTGGTGAGCGTCTAGAACCGCTTTACTACGGCTGCTCCCGTGAAAATATTATAAATATCTAATAAATGCACTGGTGATTTTTCATAATTACAATAATGAAATAATAACACAAGAAAATGATCACCTCATTTTCAGAGGGTTTGGGTCGAGCAGAAGGCTTGTTTTTTCTACAGTTTCAGTCCAAATTTGGGGCATCCGCCCAACTGGCAGCTTGGCCGAATTCTTTGTTGTCGACTGTAAGGATGTTTATGGGTAAGTGTTGAAATGGGAAAATTTCATTTAAAAAAAAAAAAAGATTTACAAACAAAAAACAATAACTTAACATGCGATAATAAATTAGTAAAATAAACAAATTAAATAATTTACATGTGGTTGCGTGTGTGGCTTAGGCGTTGCGAGTCCGACTCGTAATTCCAACGTACAGCGATCGAAACCCACTGCTGGCTGCGTGATATTTTTATCATGGTATGAGGTGTCGCAGGTCGACCGAGCCTGAAATGGGTGCAAGGATGTGTGCGTGCTCTTCCCAAAGGTCTGGTGCGCTTAAAGGCGTGAAAATTGTACTTCACTTTAAATAATATACAGACAAGCGATTGTAGATTCAGCGATCTCCATAATGAAAGGGGTCAAGCCGTTCATATAATGCTCTGAGGGATTGTGGGGGGGGGGGGGGGTTTGGGATGGGTGGGGGAGGGGGTGTTTCTTTATGAATCTGTGAGTATAGTATGGTATATTACTTAAACTGTTTACCATACTCAACATCCAGGTTCTGGTACAGGACTACAGTCCAGAAATGGACGAACAACCAGAACTTTCTGCTGAAGATTTCAGCCGGTGGACGCGAAGAACAAGTCTCTTTAGTCAGTTCTACCCTAACTGAGACTTTTATTTTAGTTGTCTATAAAAAAAATAACAATAAATTACCCTTTACAAGCAAGTATGAGGCAGCTAAGACAACACCCCCTGCCCCCCCCTCCCCAGCCCCCTCCTCCCTTTTCTTATTATATTAAAAGACAGTCCCCATCAACTCAAAGAAAAATCATCTCATACAAAGCCTAGACATCCACAACTCATGCTATAAGTGCCAGACATGAAGGCTCTCAACAACAGCAACAAAACAGTGCATTTTTAACCCAGGGAAGGCGTTATCTGAGAAAGGTTATAGGAATGCCCAGACGAAATTAAAATCAGTAATGATATTATTAGAGAAACTGCATACAGAGAAACAATACAAAAAAATATACACAGCAAATTTAAAAAAAAACATTTTGCTAACTTAGAGAGAATGTTTTGTATCGCCACATAACACAAATCATAGACCGAATGAGATGAAAGACATAGATCAGGGAAAAGACAAAGAACCATTTACGTATAACATCAGAGAAACTACAGCAGCGCGATGAAGCTAGCGAGATGTCAAGAAGAGCATGAAACAGAATCTTTCATATATAGAGTGAAAACAGGAGATGAATTAAAATGTTAAGCTGAAAGAAACAAACTCACAGCAAACCACACACCGCTGATCCCCTCTCCCCATCCCACCCACCACTACTTTCATCGTCTAAACTGTCTGTCTCTTCTTTTTAACTGCACTGAAGAAGAAAAAAAACTACTGCAAGAAAAATCGCCATCCACACATTGCAGGCATTAAACTTACCTGAATGTTGAATTAAGAATCGACATGACAGCGCTTGGAACACTCCCATAAGCACTCCGTCTCCAACTTCAGCAGCAAACGAAATGTTCCAGTTTCGACGGTATCAATAACTGCCTGATTTTACAACCGTCTTGGGTGTTGAGCGTCGGCCAGATCCCCTGGTAACTCCTCACAGCGCCCTTCTCCTCAGACCGTAATGATCTATTTGTGCCTCAACACGGTTCACTCGCTCACAACATCTAGCTTGCCATACATCAATTTACCACCAAGTGGCGCAGAGTCTATCTGCCTGACCGTTTCCCAACACACCTACACAGCCCGGAGAAAATCAAGGACGCTAACTACCTAGGACCTATGAAGAGATGCTTGCCACTCTGCACTGAGCATACCTGTCACCACCTTTCTCAGCATGCTCTGTGAATCAGTTACAGGTACGACGTAGGTGTACAGCTGATTCTGAAGCCAGCGCAAGACAGCAACGTATCAGAAATGTAATGATGTCTACAGGAAAAAAAAAAAAACTATAACTGTGTGTTTAATTCTCTCTAATTCCCAGAGTTGTATAAAGCGGGACAAGGTAGGTTTGGGGGGGGGGGGCTGTCTCATTAAAAACGGGACGTATAATCACCATATTTTTACCTACCCCCCCCCCCCCTTACTTCCCCCCCCCCTCACCCCATGCCCAAACGATAAAATAAGTGAAAGAAAAAAGTGATGAAACAGAGGATGAAGTCGATGTAGTATGTTTATTTGTTACTTGTTTCCTTTACAATGCAGATATTTAGTTGACGTTAATCGAGGAATGGTAACTGTCTCTCAAGGGAATACGTATCGTCTACAGGTCCAGCATGCATGGCAGTGGTCAATCGCTACAGTGTGAGAACTGCCAGTATTATCGGCACCTTGCTCTGCTTTACCGGGATGCTGCTCAACTCCTTTGCGCCAAATGTGTATTTCCTGTTCCTGTCACACACTCTACTGGGAGGTAATTTCATTAAACCTAGAACAGCCAACACACACAATTAGCTGTTCTCAATGCTAGTTTGTAAAGTAGGTAGTTAGTCGGTTCAGTTAGTCGTTCAGTCGATAGATCATCATCAGGGTTAATCATGCCATTACCTTCATGCAACAATTATCGTGAAAAAGCACTTATAGTCAGTTCCAAAAGTCGAGGCCACCTTACAAATCTGTAACTCAGTAAGGGTTAGGTAATATTTTGAAATATGGCTTGTAGCCTGTTAAGAATCGTGTGAACAGGAAAATAATGTTAATATAAACAAACATCTGGTTTGTATTTTTAAATATTTGCGGAACATAAAAATACAGACATTGGTTTAAAACATACAATTAGCATATTTCTGGCATCAAGAGAGCTAACAGACTGAAATATTTGGGGCATATTGAGAGGATGTCAGATGACAGAGAGGTGAAAACTGCATACACAACGGAGATGACTAGTCGTAGACCACAGAACACGAGGCGGACCAAGAAGATAATGGAGAGATTATGTCCTGACAGACCTGCAAAAACTTGGTGTCACCAACTGGAAAGAGAAGGCCAACCATAGAGATGAATATAGGCGGGTGATATCTGCAGCAATAAACCTCAAGGGCTCGGAATGCTGAAGAAGAAGAAGAAGAAGAATTGCAATTAATGAAGTGACAGGAACTTTGAAAAACACCCAATTGCATATTTTTTGGACGTAATCCGGGCAAGCAACTAAGGCGCACTTTTTTTAAATAGTGAATGTTGTGTCATAAACTCATTGACATAATTGTACATTTTTCATCGGTGTCTCGGTCTAAGGCGGTCAGTCTCCTGCATAAGCCTCCTGTTAAATAGATAAACCCAATATTTAATTGTTTATGGAATCTACTATCAAAACTATCATCATGCATTGCTGCACGTGTACAATTTTAAAAAAAAAACTATTTCCACGTTTGTGATTTAAAGCAAAACTCCGTACAGAAATTTTCGTCCATTGCGAACGGATACAAGTGATTACATGACCACATACCTGTGCTGGCTATCATAGTGTCTCCTCAGTGATATCTTGTTATGCAATGGTACAATCATCAAAGACCTCTCCGCATATTGGTTTATACTATCATTTTCTGTTGAATATAGATTTATATCATCATTTATATTCTGAGTGTAGGTTTATTTGTCTACAGTTTTACCTGCCATCTGAGTATAGGTTCATTGACATTTTTTCAATCCACTACAAGTTTTTATTATAATTTGTCCGTCAAATAAATGATTACTGTTAGCTTGGTCAGACGAATACAGGTTTGTTGCATAATCTGTTAACAATATCATTAGTCTTTTAAATATAGGTTTATTGAATATTTGTCGAAAATATGATTGTGCAATAATTTATCTGTCAAGTATATATGTCAGTCGTTTAGCGTTTATAGTATAAAACATCTCTCGTAAATAGGGGTATTGTATGAATTGTCTACTGTATCATATTTCTTTTGAATATAGTTATTGTCGATTTTTGTGGAGTGAAAGCTTATACTCTAAGTTAACTGTGAAATATACCTTTTCTCGCACTTTATGTCTGTCAAATATACGTTCACAGTAAAATTTGACTAGCCAATATACGTTTATAGTACTAACTAACTGTCGAATATACGTTTTAAGTACTATTTACCTGTCAAACATACGTTTTAGTATATACGTTTACAAGACTATTTGTTTGTTAAATATGCGTTTATAGTATTATCAGTCTGTCGAAAACATGTTTACAGTACAATTTGTCTGTGGGATGTAGGTATAGGCAGAGGGCTGATGGCTGGTGTCGTGATTTTGAACCTCTACTTCGACAAACACCGGAGTCTAGCAAACGGGCTGGGGTTGTCCGGTATTGGTATGGGCTCATTATGGACAATCCCGCTGGTGCAGTATTTGTTTGATGAGTATGGATTCACTGTAAGTATAGACAACAATGGTCTTGTCTTGACTGCTCGTAAAGCTATGCAGTAAACGTTCGTCATGCTTGCTTTCTGTTATGATCTAAATACAGTAACATTTTGTTAACACGAACTCACTTAAAAAGAAAATTCGGTTAAGTTGAACACAGTTTTGGTCCTAGAATAGATGTTTCATTATTTTAATTAGTCTTCGGTTAGTACTAATTATTTTTTAATGTGAGCTTCATTTTTGGTCTGTTGGAAATTGTATTATCGAGGTTTCACTGCATATTCGTAGATGTATTCCTCAAATTTCTCCTATAGCGTAATTAGTCTCCTTTTATCACTGTCCAAGCTTTCCTGACAACAGTTCCAAACTGTGCTTAGCTAGACATAATGGTCACAGTCCAGAGCAATGGCAAGGGTCTCTAGCAAGTCCCACTCAAAGGAAGTTGTAAAGACCAGTAATAGACTTACAAAGTTATCCTGGGCGACTTAATGTGACTCAAAAGAGTATTATTCTAAGGGTGTTCCAAAAGAGGAAGACAGCAAGTGACATAATATGTCTGATGATAGTGGTCGACTTACCAAAGAACTCTAAGGTAAGAATTTTCAATACCACCGAAAGACGAGATGTCACATGCACGATATAAGGTATCCCCAAGAAGAAAGACATTGAAGGACTTCTAGAGTCTAAAAAGTAGTGATCGGTTTACCAAGGATGCAGAGTGACCAGCTTGCTAAGACCCGTGAAAGACTTGTAAAGTACATTCAGCTCTTCAAGGTGTACCAAGGACTGTGGCCAGCTTACCAAGAACTTCAGTGAAAGACTTACCAAGACCAGTGTGCAAATTTAGATGTACATTGCGTGATTTATGTTGTCCATCGGCCCCTAAAACACCTTATATAACTAGTCCACACAACAATTTCCCCCTCACATTGAACATCCGTTTCAAACATTTTGACACAAACCCAACCCCTTTTAATCTAATTTTCTGATTCTCTAAAACTCTACATCTAGCCGATGCACGACTTGTTCCCTCACTACTGCAACGGCACCTAACTTTGCGCCACACCACCCTCCCTGTTTGAAATAATATTGCACTTTTATTCTATTCAAAGACATGCCACAATTAGCAGTAACCATCATATGACCCCTAAAATTTCTTTCAAATGGCTGAAACTACATTTGACCTCCATGCTGGTCACAGGCACCTAACACCTGTACACAAAACCGACTTCTTTGCCTTGATGTTTTTTTTAAATTTTTTTTTATTATTTTTTTTTTATTTCTTACTCTACATAAAGTAATAGCACCGTGTCAACAGGAGGCCTTGATGACCCTAAAACTAAGCATGTAAGTAGTAATGATGACACAACAACTTGACACGCCTCACTAATCCACCGGCACATAACCCCCCAGCACAACACCTGCCTCTTTGCCATAATTTCTTTTTTCAACTCTATATGAAGTCATAGCACCATATGTAGTGATCCTTCATGTTCCCTGAACCTTCAAGTAACTAGAGGAAACTAAAACGTGACTCCCTTACCAATGGGTGGAAGCAAAATATATATATACCCCCAATTAGTATAGCCTAAAAAGTCAAAAGAGCCTCATTTTTGGGACCGTACACTCGGTAATGGCATTTAACAAACTGTAACAACGAACGGAGACAAAGAGAGTTTATAACCTCCACCTTGAAAGCTGATTTTTTTTTTTTTTTCAGGGAACATTCATGATTTTATCAGCATTACTCCTGCATGGTCTACTTATCGCCATGTTATACCGTCCGCTGAGACTGCACTACCAGTTCATGACGGCAAAACTGTAAGTCCAAACTGCACCAACATGCAAGAAACTCCTCATCATTATCCTTATCATTATCCTAACCTTCATCATCATGTTAAAGGTTGTCATGGTTCGCCATCTAGCAACACATCCAGAATCTCGTACCAATTGTGTGTTCTGATAACATAACGCAAATCTCCCTAAATAGAGTAGGTCACTTTTCATTCACAAGTTTGTTGTGCTGGTCGAATTTCATGAAGGTTACAGGTGTGTCCCGCTCTATTGTTTGCTTTCTGTGTTGTCTTGCATTTACGTTTTTATTCCAAGAAAGAGAATGCCTCTGACATAGGTGGCAACATTCTCTAGGGGGTGTTGTGTTAGGGACAGTTGCTCCGTGTTTCTGGAGCGTTGAAAGCACTGGCGTGCTGAAGTATACAACACACGATACCAACGGTATGGCGAAACACCCCTCTGACCTTGTGCGATGGTTACGAGGCTCAAAAACTACAAATCAGAAGTGACCTAGTGTGTAAAAAGGCGGGGTGTGGAGAGTTTAACGTTACGTATGCTCTTGTCCATCTACACTATTGGGCCAGTCGAGCAACGCTTATGCCTCTCCGTCATTCCTATTTTACACACAAAGACACGGTTGCACACACACATATGTGTGTGTGTGTTTGTGTGTGCGTTATACACCTTTAATAGGTGTTGCATAGGTGCAGCTGTTTATTGTTAGTCCAATGCTTTTGTTGACACGCCAGAGCTTCCTCAATGTTACGAAATCTCTGTCACTTTATTTAACGAATAATCAGAATTTCTGAGGTTACACTGTCATCAAGGCAAGTAAGTAATCGACTACTTTGCAAAGTAAAGTAAATGAAATTTTTCTACTCGAATCAACACGAACTTTTTTCGTGTGACCTTAAACTTCACATGTCTTTAGGATTTTATAGGGGGCTGCGTGGTCTCGAGAAATGGTGTTCGCTCCTAGTGCTAGGGGTCTCAGGTTCAGACCCCGATAATGGTTGGGATTTGTGCACGTAGACTTCTAGTAATTTTCTGCTGGTCTCTGGGTAGTTTTTTAAATAATGTGTGTGCTCCTTAAAAACAATGTAGTAATTGACAGACGTCTGGAGATCGTTTCGAAACCAGTTCACATGTGCAACGATGCGTGGTGATTTGTTTTAAGTGTGTATCACACATGAATCTTCCCTGTGACTACATACGAATGTGAGTCGTGGACTATCTCTCAGTCCTTAAGAAAGAGTATAGGGGCTTTTGAGCTGAAGTGCTGTAGAAAGATTCTCAGAATATCTTGGACAAAGAAGGTGAGAAATATTGACATAAGATCTGAACATCAAGGAAGATTGGCTAATAAACAGCATCCTTTCTCGAAAACTGAAATATTTTGGTCATATCAAGTGTCACGACGGATTGGAAAAAAATATAGAAAAAGGCATTGTGCCAGGAATGAGGTGCAGGGACCGACCGACACGAAGATGGGCACAGGATATAAGTGACTCCTTGAGTGTGAAAGTGCATGAGGCAGGAGAACTGGCAAGAGACCGAGTTTCCGAGAATCAAAAATATAGAATTCACTGAAAACTAATGCTGCAGATGACCACTTTAGAGTAGAAAGCTTATGAAACGTCTGAAATTTGTTGCTTTTAAAAGTTTACATTAGTCACTGAACTGCATGCTGATTGTTTGCTGGAACTCTTTCAGTCTCAGGCAACTCACCATGCGTTAGTCGGTTCCTGCTTATACGCTTCGATTTCTCTAACTAGCCAGCCAGTTTCTACACCAACTGATTCTGTACCTATGGTTACTTTAACCCTTTCTGTCACGCAGGGTTTATGTTTAAATCACTGGAGGTAGAAATATTCATTAGTCAAAATAAACATTTCTTTTGATATAATAAATTAAAATAACATGTGCCTGGGACTGAAAGAGTTAAATCGATGCCTGTTCAACAAACCCGGTCAACAAATGCCTGCACAAGTTGGAGGTGTCGTCCGAAATGCGCAAATATCGAATTCTTTCTGTAAACTGGCACAACGCAATTACATCTTCGCATGAAGGCATGGGAAAAGATATACCGTCAATACGGCGAAATGAAAATTAGATGTCTGTCTACATTTTTTTTTTAATGCTGACAAGGACATGATTATTCACAGGTCATAAGTCAAATTTTAACAACTTGCACTGAACGGTTACTGAGAATGCAGATTTTTAAAGTTGGATACAACTTCTGGAAAGGACTGTAGAATTCCCTTTATAGCAGTGTGTGTGGGCGGGGGAGGGGAGGGTTGGGGGGGGGGGGCTTGTGTGTGTGCGCGCGCGCGTGTGTGTTTGGTGTGTGAGTGGGTGTATGTGAGTGGAGGAGTGTGAGTGACTGAGTGAGTGTGTGTGTGTGTGTGTGTGTGTGTGTGTGTGTGTGTGTACAAAATGGGGCACGGGAACCAAGTATTTTTTTTTTATTTTTTTTTATTTTATAAATCTGTGTTGTTGTTGTTTTTTTTTTTTTTAAATACAAACCTATTTAATAACACAGCATTAAACTACACCGTGCAGGTCGCTTTTGGTGTCCGTGATTCGTCGATAGATCGCTTTTTTTAAATTCATATAACGTATATAGCTTGTATTCTTCGACACTTGACTTTAGGTAAGTAAAGTAAGTAAAGGACCCTTTCCACGCCTTTAGGCGTATAGGGCATATAGGGCTAGACCTATATTTTTATAGACCAACGGCACAAGATGGGTGATGTGGTCAGCATCACGCCGGCCGCCTCTACTTCCCGGGATTGCACCCGATACCCACTCAAGGCTGGGTCGACCTGGGAGCCAAGGTCATTTTTGAAGAAAAGTCCGTCTCCGCCAGGGAGCGAACCCACGACCTTCCGATCCGCAGCGCGCGTCTAGCCGCTCTGCCACGGCGACTCCCTGACTTTAGGTATCCCCATGGTAATAAATCACGTGAACTCAGGTCAAGAGGCCTAAAAGGGCTTACAGTGTCGTCGCCATATCTTGAAATAAGACGTTCGAGAAACGGGGTGCAAAGAACAGCAGCCATTGACGTGCTGGCGGTGTGTACCGTCAGAAAAGAAGAGTACGGCAGGCATGTGTGTATTCCTCAAGCCATTTCAACTTATATACAGAAAACATGTTTAAACAAGCTGATGAACTGTCTGCGCTAAATATTGAAGGAAGAATAGTAAATAATCTGAGATACGCGGATGGCACAGTGCTACTAGCAGAAAGCGAGCAGGAGTTACAAGAACTAGTCGATCAAGTCAGCAGGCGAAGTGCGGATTATGGTTCAGACATTAACATTCAGAAAAAAAAATATATGCTAATTAACAATGGAAAAGAGCGATCAACAGTGAACAACACAGCAAACAGAGAGCCATTAGAACAAGTAACATGTTTTTTTTCCGATTTAGGACACATAGTAACAGATAATGGTAGAAGTGAAACATACATGAAAAAGAGAATATGAATGGCTACAACTGTATTAAATAAGATGCGCAAATTACTGACAAAGTGATAAACAACACGCTAAAAATGAGAATTGTCAAATGTTGTGTGTATCCAGTCCTGACATATGGTGCAGAATCTTGGATAATGAACAAGCGACTAGAAACTCGAAATGAGTCCCTGGAAATATGGGTGGGTATACAGAAGAATATATCATTTTTCATGGAAACAAAAACAGTCCGATACAGAGGTTATGCAAAAACGATATATGAAAAAACATTTACTGATAGAAAGAAAAAAGAGACAATGAATTACCTCGGCCACATTAAAAGATATAGCACACTTTGAAAAACCAAACTGGAGGGAAAGGTGGAAGGCGAGAGAGTAAGTGGTGGGAAATGATAAAAATGGGAGGATAATATTAAGAGATGGACGGGCAGCAATCTGATAGAATGTACAACCAGGACAAGAAACAGAGCGTGTATGAGATGCACTGCAACCAACCATCCATGTGAAGACGGTACCTCATTTATTGATTCTGTACCGTGGCCAAATCTTGCTAAAACCATACATTTAAATGATCTGGTAATCCGGTAGTCTGGTAATCTTAGTTTCAGCGTCATAGCAAACGGGTCACCCCATAGTTGCTTCGCTCCTGTGCCAACAAAAAACACACAGAATGTTTATCACACTCCCGTGTGGGACGATTGACAGACTGCTGTCTCAGCAAATGCGCTAACATACACACACGCTTTAAAAACATGCGGTAGCCATCCGAAGTGCTAACACAAACAGTCCGACATTAGAAATGCCTTTCATCATGGATGGTAGCAGAAGTCACCAAAAGATCAGCAGTTGCACATGCGATAAATTTTAATCACATCATGGCACCACCAATATTGCGACAATCGGCATCGAGCCATTTTCTGAATCTACAATTCACAACACCACGTTGGTAGCAGTCAAAAAACATTCCAAATGAAATCTGCAGCTCACAGTGTCACGCCATGCACTCTACTCAGAAGCTGAGCGACGAAACTATATCCTTTCAGTCTACAAATGGAGCGAAAATGCAACGGCCACCATCTGGTAGAAGCAACAACTTTGCCACGGCTTAAAAAAGTGGCCGTACCTAGCGTTCATTTTGACCAAAAGCATTTTAATGATCAATACCTCATTGCAATCCAGGGATGAATAGGTGTTTACAATCTCAGTGAAACGCTATAATAAATAGGGACCAGTGACGCCAAACTTTCTTATCATCCACCAAACTGTTACCTTTGATTTAAGCAACGTTCTGTTTATAATTGGTTCTGATTTTTAGTAGCAGAGACCGACAATTTCGTTTGGTGCCAAATAAAAGTGAAATGCTTTGAGTCAGCAAATGAAGTAAGGACTATAGCACGCGCCTCCTTTTTTTTTTTTTTTTTTTTTCCCCCTAATGGCTAAGTACCAACCTTCCCAGAACCTCGTATTTCCTGTGCCCTGTATATTTTTCTTAATATTCTACATTCCTACAGCTTCCACTAAATGTTTCACTCATCGGCAAACTTGTCTGTGATTGCCACGATTCACCCTCGTGTATCAGAAGTGGCAATTGATAATCTTGGGTGACAATAAAATTAATGAAACCTAATAACATAAAGATGTCAGTATATTAACACAAATTTTATTACTTCTAAGTTACTGAGTGTTATGTCAAGTATGAAATTTAAAATGAAAAGACAATTTTCTTTCCACTAACAGACTGAAGAAGGGCCTCAAGACAAGAATGGATGATTATAATATAGCTGTTGTAAAAGATTCAACTGGGACTGATAGTAAAAGCTTAAATTCTAACTTAATTGATATGGAGTTGATACATCGTGCAAAACTATTCACCATCGACGAGACTGTAGAACGACCAGAGAAAAATGAACAAGCAAAACAGCCAGAGAAACACGAACAAGTCAAACAGACAGAGGAATATGAACACGTCGAACGGCCAGAGAATCATGAAAAGGCAGAGGAGCCAGAGAAATATGAACAAACAGAAGAGCCAGTAAACAATGAACAAGCAGAGAGTATTCAACTGCTAGGAGACATCGTCGCTGCTTCCAAAGAAGACGTCTCCGGGAAATCTTCATCAAGCTCTTCTTCAGACGACGATGCAGATACATTCATATTAAACAAAGAGGAGTCAACACAATCAGAATCAAATGCTACGGGAGAAAGCGTAGAAATTGAAAAGAAAGATAACTCTGAAGGTTGTCTTCGCAGTTCTTTAAAAATTTGCTTCCCTGTTGAATTCAAACGTGAAGGGGAAAAGAAGACATCGGACATATACCATTGGGATCTGATAAAAAACATACCTTTCATGATTTTCTGCAGCAACGGTCTTTTATACCTATTAGCCGTCAAGATCGCTTTTCTCTTTCTTCCAGCCATTGCACTGTCTAAAGGTTTCTCCAAACAGCAAGCTGCAATAATCCTGACCATCATAGGAGGTACAGACACTTTTGCTCGGATTTTCACCGGATTTCTTATGGACCTGAAGCCACTGCGACGATACAGGCAATATTTTTTCACCTGTTTGTTGTATCTCTTAGCTGCTGATACATTGATGATCCCAATATTGCCCAGTTTTACTTCGGTGAGCATCGTGTGTGCTATTTATGGGTTTTTAACTGGAGCATTCATGGCTCAGAGGATGGTGTTTCTTGTCGATATCGTGGGAAGAGAGAAAGTGGCAAGTGCCTTGGGAATACAGAGAGTATTTCAGGGAGTTGGGACATTGGTAGGACCCCCAATTGCAGGTAAGACATGCTAATGCTTTTTTTTTTCTTTTAATTAACTCATTTATTCATTTATGTGTACATTATATTCAGTTATGAATTGTTGCATGGCCTTTTTAACGGAAATGCTGTTAAGAAGATTATGAAAATACCATGGACCAATATGTGGCAGGTTTGGGGGGTGGGGGCGTACTATAGATCCTAAAGATCAGAAAATTAAAGAAGATAGGCTGGTACATAGCATATAGTCTCGGAAACTGAAATATTTTGGCCTAAGCAAGCGCCACGGCGGACTGAGAGGAATAGTAGCAGAAGGCTTTGTGTCAGGAAGGAAGGGCAGAGGACCATCAGCACAAAGATGACCATTTTTGTAGGAAAGTACAGGAGGCGGGAGATATGGCAAGGAAACGAGTTTTTTTCAGGCAGATCGAGATGAAAGAAATTTTCTGCAAAGGACAATAAGATGGAAATTAGTGTCTGGACAGAAGAGAGAGTAGTGCTAGCCTGCCGTCTAGATGATCTAGAGTTCGAATCCACGAGGAGACAGATTGTTATATTCGACCTGTGTCTCCCATGTAGACCTTAGACTTAACACTAAAATGAGGACCAAATCATGTCATAGCAATTGTCATGTAAAGTAAAAAGTGACCAGGGAAATGTTGTCGATACCCATCAAGTGTTGGTTTGAGTCCAATATTCCCGATAGTGGGCAGAGAAAATATTCCTTTTTCCAAAAGAATTATAAGTAACCTGGAATGCAGATGGTGAGCCTATCTCATACTGTAGAAGCTGCACAGTAATATATATATATATATATATATATTTATGGAATCCAGGCATTACAAGCCAGAAGTTAACTCTACCTGATTTCTTCTTCTTCTTCTTGGTGTTTACCAAATGTAATCTACTGAGGAGAAGCTCACCACGTTTAGTCTTGTTCCAGAACCTGTGCTTTGCGTGCACATCCATATTATGTCCATGTCCAAGGCCTTTTGAGAAAGAAAATGAAAAGGTCGACCACTTTCAGGCTGCTGCTAGCTAGCCGAGGCTGCTAACAATCTCCACCTATATTTGTGGTCTGGGTTATTTGTGTCACTTTCGTGACTAAATTCTAGTATTGCACAATTTCTGTGCATGATGCTTACATCCTGCACCGTTGTTAGTTATTCGTTTCTTTCCTCTTCCTATCTGGTGTCTCCTCTTGGTGTCATTTCTCTCTGATTTGGCCAGGCGTATCTCGTAGGAGAGCGAGCTTTTCCACGCAACGTCCTTTGGACCACCATTTATAGTTTTAAAATTTTAATTTTTTTTTTGGGGGGGGGGGGGGTGGGGGGGGGGGGGCGGGGGTGCAAAAAGTACTGAAAACAGTTTTTGAATTTGAATAGTTCCGAAATGTGACAATTTTCCGCGTGTGACCATAGTGGTCTTATAGTTTTCTTCCTGTAATAAAAACGGGTTAGTCATGTAATGGATATGTTTGTGAAAGGTTGTGTGGAGCCTTAAGCCAGTCCAGTCGTCATTTTTTAGTGTGTGATCGGGTTGTGTTGACAGTTAAGCTCCGGTGTACGTAGATACCATATAACCGGACACATCCAGCTCACGCTTTTAGATCCAAATGTTCGGCGATGAGAATTGCTATGACATGTTAGGTAACGAACAAGTGCTATCTGTGGGAATGGGTTGGGGGGTTAAACTCATAGTGCATCCGAAAGAGTTAGGGAAGGGTGAGGGGAAAGGGGGCGGGAGGTCATTCTGTCCTTTCTCGTCGTTGCCGTCTTGCTGGATTCTAGCGTGGCCTATTGCCGGGACTATGTGTATCACGTTACCAACCTTTGCTATCATCCCAATGATGGGGTGGTATTGGTGGTTATGTTTTCTAGTCCTGTCAGTATCGAGTCACTTGTTTTCCCTAATTGCTATCAGTCATATCTTGTTGTGAGTCCTACTGGTTATGTGCATGTTGTATGCATGATGTGGAATTGGATGGTTTTGTGTATGAATCCCCGGAGTATATGGACACACACAAATAAGTGTATGCGTACATGCACTCGAGTATTCATACACGCAGACAACACTACATGTTTGCACGTAATGTCATACTTATCCGTGTATGAATATCTAATTGACATTACGTACACACGCAAACTCTTTCATATGCGTCTACCAGTGCCTGTACTTACATTCATTAAAAAAAAAAAAACGAGCAAATCCACACGTAAGGACATTCACTCTTCCATGTCTTGTGTGTTTTTGTGTCGCTATGTCTGTAATATCGTCTGGTCGTGTCACTTTTTAAGTTATGTCGCGTTACTGGAATGGGATCTGTCCGGTATTGTCTTATCATGTTCTGGTGGATGGTGTGTTGCATCCATATTACAGATCTAGCTTATTTATATACAGACTGTTGGTGCCTGGTCTCTCTAGCAGATGCACTCCGACTTTGACGAAAACATTTCAAATTAGTTGCCTTTCCCTAATCAATGGGGTTCCCGGAATCTTTTTACCCGAATTAAAATAATATCTTTGTCTAAACATTTCAGGTGCCCTGAGAGATGCCCTTGGCAACTACGACAGTTCCTTCTATCTGGGCGGTGGAAGTATGCTTGGGTCCGCGTTGCTAATGACGCTTTGTTTTGTGCTACTAAGAATACAGCACAGAAAGTCATCGATTTAAACCAGCACACACACCACACACGCCCACACACAACTGAAACATGTGTTCGTATTTTTAATTTAAATAACGAAGAGACAGTGTACGAATGAAATTGTTATCATAGCACATTTGCGTCATTATGTTAATGTGTAGCAGCAGTTGTGTATCGTCTTCTTTCAGCATATCATTATCACGTGACATGCCCAAAAGCGTCACGTTGACCACATGGTACGGAATCTATAGTCTAAGTATAAGGTCCATAGGCGCCGGAAATTGGAGAACATACATCTTGAGCCCCCACCTCCTCCTCTTTTGTGTGTGTGTGTGTGTGTGTGTGTGTGCTGGGTTCCAAGCCTGAACGTGCCTGCTCAGGCTCATGTTCGTGTCTCAACTATGCCACGCAGACAGGTTAGCCGGGTATTTATCTCTAGGGTGACTCAATGGGCCAGAGCTCACAGGATCGGGCGCTTATGTCCACATTTATTTTCATCAGTCACCGACGAAAAGCTCCCACAGCGATGGTATGAGATGTAATCTGATTGATATCACACATGTTATTTTCCATGAGCCTTGAATAACGTCCAGAGCCTGTACTCACTTCCCACATAATAACTGGTCTACCTCTAAAACTTTACGGGTTTCATCTATGTTTTAACATATACTTTTGCAAAATAAAATGTAACAACAGAAAAACAACAAAAACTTTTTTTTAATAAGTATCCACGATGTTGTGTTTCCCACCAAAAGCAGGTGGTTTGTTGTTTCGACAGAAAATAATTTGCAGTATCATTTCAGTTGATGATAAGTAAATTGCTGTAATTATTGGAAAGTGTAAGCAAACATATGGCGGTTCCTTCTCCCTCAACTTCACTTGTGGGAAGGAAAAAAAACATTAGTTTTTTAGCCATAGTCGAACTTTACCTCCATCACCTGGATCTACACACCTAGGCTTGCCGGAGAAAAGGGCAATGAACGAGCCGATTAACCAGCATGTAACGAATGAATCAATGGGTACGAAAGAAGTATGGGCAGAGCTGATGTCATCAACGCTATACGTAATCGGCTGATGAGTAATGACGAACCTCTGATGCTAATTCGATTGACTGACCTGGGTGTAAAGCTTGGTAAAACACGTTAATTCCCTCCTTAAGGTCAAGACTGGAGCCATCATAAACAGCTTCTCATGGTAACAGTCAGCAAACATGACTTAGTGTGGTTGCTGCATCGGATGATTTGACCCATATGGGCGTGATCAGTATACAGAGGTGTCCATTGTAATGACATCACATTTCCTAATATAATGATTTTCAGCGACGCGAATGCAAGCATTGCCAGTTGATAGTTAGGTTCTGGCAAAGTGAAGATATAACAAAAATTACGAATTGGTATAGAAATTATATTCTTCTTTCTTATTAGCGTTCGGTTTCGTATGATCATATCAGACCGTCAGGTGGGGAGCCTCTATAAACTCGCATGTCAGTAGCAGGTCCTTCATCGTTCCTCGTATCTCTGTACACTTTACTCTTGAAGCTAGTTGTTTGGTTTTTTTTTTTTCGAGGTTGTAGGTAGAGTGGGCAGGTGTGTAGAACGTGTCCAGGTGTTTGTGGTCCTGTCTAACATGCACACTGTGACACTGTAGGGGGACTGTACAGTCTTTATTTTATGCATGTGGTAATTGAGCCTGCAGTGTCCGGTTCGTAGACTGAAAACTGAAGAAGAAAAGACAGATGTGGAACAGTAACAACAATGAACGGTTAACGGTTACAAGCTATGCTGATTCTCCAGACAAGGTAGATTTACAAATGACGCAGAGAAATCAAATATAGCTTTACAAAAATAAATGATAAAAGAAAGACAAAATGTTGTTGAAAGAAATTACAACAACGATGGTGCAATTAAAATGTGTCAGCTAAATTAAAAATAATAATACGCTAATGAAAACCATTCTTAATGGAACAATTAAAAGCTGGTGGGCCAGAGATAGGCAGTGGTGAAGTACATCATCATCATCATCATCATCATCATCATCATCATGTGTAGTACTGGTATGCGTAGACTGTCACGTTTCTCCATCTCATGTGATCAAGAGATTCACGGATAATATATCAATGTTCTTGTTTCATCCAATATATGCGACCAAGCCATTCATGTCTTAGTCTCTTTGCCTTCTTCTGATTTCTTTATTGCCAAATGTTACCAAGCTCTCAAATCCATTTCTTCGCATGACATATCCGAAAAATACCCACTAACGACGTAAAGTCAAGAACTGGAGAAACAGCTGTCTGAGAAAATATAAAACCAGGACAAGAGACACGTGGTACTTCTTCTCACTATCCTATCCTATATGTGTTGAAAAGTTTTGCTTCCATACACACACCCCCAATCACACACTCACCCACACACACACGAACACCCCCACACATGCACACACCCCCTCACCCACACACACACACACACTGTGCTCGGACAGCTATATTTAGGCGTCGGCAACAGCTTTGGCAGAAAAAAGTGCACAACGCGTGAGATCTGGCGAGAGGCCGAGTTTCCTTCAAACGGGAGTCATTAGAATGATATGTTGCAAATTGCCTTCTAAACGATGATAGGCTTCAATGTATTAACATTTGAACAAAGAAGACACAAACAATAGATTGCACAATTTATTGCCTGGCATATTTCGCTGTATCTCGTCAGGTGCATACTGCAGTAACAATTACATAAATAAAGCTATTAAGTGAATCCTTTAAAGGTTAGTTGCGTATTCTTTACAGGACGTTGCAGAACCAACCCAAACAGCCCCAGGCCGTTTGGTTTTTCTAGGCAAATTTACGTCCAGTAGTTTGCTATTGCTTCTGGACTGTCGGCTTTCTTGAAACTACTGTCGAAACCAACGCAAGGCGCATGGCCCGCAGCTGGGATTGAACCCGGCATTACGAGGCGTTCGCATCGACTTAACCACAAAGCCGACTGAATCCTTTATAACTGAAGTACAATTTCAAAAACGATAAAAACCGAAAGACGCCTTTCACACATTTAACGCATCGCTTTTGTGGTGTTTCTTCTTTGAGACTTTTTTTATTTTTTCCTGTGACTAGTCATTACAAGCATTCATATGAGCAAAGTGTAAGTAACGACTGGTTATTTTCCTTGTGACTAGTCATTACAAGCATTCATATGAGCAAAGTGTAAGTAACGACTGGTTATTTTCCTTGTGACAAGTCATTACAAGCATTCATTTGAGCAAAGTGTAAGTAACGACTGGTTATTTTCCTTGTGACAAGTCATTACAAACATTCATTTGAGCAAAGTGTAAGTAACGGTTGGTTATTTTTTTCTTGTGACTAGTCATTACAAGCATTCATTTGAGCAAAGTGTAAGTAACGATACTTTCTGAAGGAATTCAAAACCCCACGGTGTTTACATATTTTGGTCTAAATTCGAAACAAGTTGATGAAGGGCATGGGGGGGGGGGGGGGTATACGTAGTTTTAGTGGATGTTGTTTTTGACAGGAAAAATACATCTAACGCAAACACACACATGCACCCACACAGGCGGGAGCACACACAAAGGGCCATTATTAGGTTGAATGGAGGACTCAGCATTCATTTACAAAATTGGAAAGGGATGGGGGGGGGGGTGAGAAGGGGGTTAATTTAATTAAGCCACCAGGTTCCTGCGCCTATATATACACACACCAGCACGCATGCGCGCACGCACACACGCATCGCACCCATCTATTTTGTACGTCTTCGTCGTGTTAACATGTTCACATTGAGCTCTCTAACTATCAAACTTGTCACCTTAGCACAAAAGGCCAATCTAGTTTGAAAGAGTTTAATCATTCTACGTGTGTTCACCTGGTTAATTAAGAATGGGTTGAGACAGCTACATTATAAAAATGGTTTTTATGCATACCTCTCCTAATACAGCTTTCACAATCAACTATTGTTTACGTTTTCGTTAACCATCTATCTATAGAAATGAAAGTGGTAAGAAAGCTAAGACGCTTACCTGCTGTCCCGATATTCTTAGGTTGAAGTATCATAGAAAGAAATTTAAAAATAAATTAAAACAAAAATTACTAAGCCTAAATCAAGTTTGAAACTCATCATGTAGCAGGTCCTTTACAGAACGTCGCTCTTATCACGGTCTGCCGGAAAGAAACTCGGTCTCTCGCCAGCTCTACCGCCTCATGTACTTTCATACTCAAGGAGTCACTTGTATCCTGTACCCATCTTCTGTGTCGATCGGCTCCTGCCTCTTCTTCCAGGTACCATGCCTTTTGATATAATTTTTTCCAACCGTCGTGGCTCTTGATATGACCAAAATATTTCCGAGACGGGATGCTGTTTATTAGACAATTAGATGTTCATATCTTTCAAGATGTCGGTATTTATCCTCTTCTTTGTCCAAGATATTCTGAGAATCTTTCTATAACATTTCAGTTCAAAAGCCCCTATTCTCTTTCTTAAGGATTTGGGAGATAGTCCACGACTCACGTCTGTATGTTGCCACTGGGAAGATGCATGCTCTCAAAATTATAATTTTGATCTCCTTGCTGGTGCTTAACCATAGACTTTTAAGGCTGTTCAGTCTATTCATTGCTATGGCCATCCTCCTTTTAATGTCTTTCAAACAGTCTCCATTGCTGTTTATTATAGAGCCTATTTATTCAAAGTTTGTGACATTTTAAATTTATTTATCATTTATTGTTATTTTTCGGTAACAGCCAGTTTGAAACTGCTACCAGGAAATGTCACGAAAAGTAAAGGAAGCCTGATAGGATAAAGCGACCAATGACTAAGCTGTCGTTTGTAAGTGGCTAAACGCTCCTACAACTTGAAACCATCTACAGTCAACACACATAAGCATCTCATTCCCACCGTATGCTACCAGTGCCAGTCACAACGAACCAGAAAAGAAGGAATAACGGACCCAAATTATCGAGGCCGAAGATATACCCTCAGTCACATGTAAATTGCGGACCTCTTTCAGGCGACTATACCGCCACCGCCGAGGCGTA